ACTTCCCTGTAATGATGGTTCGCTGAGTCTATTATTTTTGCTTACAGCAAATGCATTGTACCAATCTATATATGCCATTCACAATCTCCTACAGCGGTGGACCATTGGTCTTAGAAATGCATCGAGTATGAGTGCCGCCTTCCCAGTTTCCCTCCGTCCTGTTGGCTATATTAATCTAATGGTGTTATGTACATTCTATAGACCCGCTAGGAATGGAAATCATAGGCTAGGAGGTATCCTATGATTAGTTTGAGATGGAACATCTGCCTTCTGATCCTGTTGTGACTTTTTCTATGGAAGTGCTTCTTAAAGTGTGGGTCGCGAGCCCATACGGGGTCCCGCAAGTGAACAAACTGTCCGATGCTGGGGTCACGAAAAATGTCCTCGGCCAAAAAGGGGTCACGAGTGGAGGAAGTTTAAGAAGGCCTGTTCTATGGTACCTTTTAGAGCCCCATTCCTTCCTGTACTGATATATCTGTACTTAATATTACTAAAGTAACGGAGTCACCTAATCTGATGATTTCTCTCTTTCCGATAAGATATATGTAGATGCGCATTTCCCATTAGACGGACCCGCAGCATTTTCTTACCAGCTGCGATTCCCGGATATCATCTACCAGAGACGTCTCCATGCCGTACATTAGCGCTGCAGGTAGGAACTTTGCTTTTAGCGGGGGATGGAAGGGAGGGTTGGGATATTGGTTATTATCAGTAAAGTGCACTCTCTCCCATAGACCCGTCATTCCTGGAACATACTGTCATTTCTCAAGAACAGGACATGTTAAAGAAACATGATGGCTCCCCTACCGCCCACAGGACCGACAACCTCCATGTGTATCGTGGCGTTGGATCCACAGAGGGCAAAACAAGTTCAAAGAAAGAAACTTAAACAAAAATTTAAAAAAATGGTTGTGAAACGCTTTTGTTCTCAAGTATGGATCATGCTAAATATTTTTTATAGGTGTGGACAGACTGGGGGAGGGTTAGAACTAGGGATGCACCGGAAATAAATGTTTACACTGAAACCGGAATTTAAAAATGTGCCATGATTTTTTTCCAACCTTTTTTTTTTTATTATTTTTTAATTATTATTATTTTATTTTTTTTACTTTACAGTTAGGGGTTTTGGGGAAATACCTGGGATCTGAACAGACCCCTGATATTTCTCTTTTAAAATAGAATTAAAGGTTTAATTATTACCAATATTAAAGGTTTTTTGACTCTTTATGGGTCTGGTGCTTAAAGGAGAACTATGGGGGTCAGGGCGTTTCCCCATAGTTCTCCAAGGGTCACGGGAGGACATAAACTAGCGTCCTCCCGTCACATTAGGCTCAGTATATAGGGAGCTACAGCTTATTACTGTCGAGATCCACCCAGCTGCGGGATTGACAGCTGACTCTGCCTATCTAGAGGCAGAGCCAGCTGTACCCGCTCCCTCCCCCGTTCATTCCTCCAGTCAGCGCTGGAGGATTGGACAGGGGAGGGGGGGAATCCCTGCAGGGAGCCGTGAGTGACAGTCACAGCTCTCTGCAGGGACAGGATTGAGAAGTGAGTGAGCCACGGTATGTGTTCTTGCGGATTGAAAATCACTCACCACATAGTTCTCCTTTAAAACTGAACTTTGTGTGCGAGAAATAAAATCTGAGAGGGGTTCGAGATTTCCCCTATACCTGGGCTCAGGGTCCAGTGTAAGTGGATGTTGCATTTCATTGCAAGGCTTTAATAGTACTTCCTCATTTACAATTCATCCCATACAATCCTCTTTTTTTAGCATATACATGTTAAAATGTGTGTTACAATCAACCAGATTCTCCAAGACAACCCCCACCTTTCCCCATGCCCACCAATCACCGAAGAACACTTTGTATGGTACACTTTACTGTCCCTACCAATGGACCCGGCTGGTAGTGTTGACTAAAAATTCCCACCCCTCCCTTGCCTAGAGCCCTTTATTTAGGAAAATGGAAGGAGGACTGAAGAGCCCCTCACTCTCTGCACGTTCCCTCACCGCGGTGCTGCTTATTCTCGCTATTAATAAAAAGAGATAAATACGCTTCTGACGTTTCCCAGAATTTAGACAGATGTAATGAATGAGCCATTATTCAATCTATTGAAAGGGTGGAATTCGGAGACAAAAGGCAAAATAAGAAGGAAGAGGAAGAGAGTATAATTAAAGTCACTCATTAAAAGGATTATAAACTGATGAAAACCGGCTCGGAGCTCCTCATTCCGACTTTAAGTCCAAATTAATTAACGGTGATCTAACCGCTGGACAGAAAATAGAAATGATCATCCACAGAGCCCAGAACAAGGAGGACGAAGAGAAGAAGGTGATGACATCCATGGTATCAGCAGGTGATCTACCATAAATACACCCAAAAAACACCACACCCTGTACATAAAGGGAAAAAAGTGCAATGTTTGCTTCAATGAGCCGATCCCTAATTATAACTGAGGGAGCCACTTGGTGGGGCGATGAATGGTCTTCAACATTACAGAACAGGTACAGCTGAAGGTGACCAACTACTGGCTATTCCAAGGGTGGGCAACCTCAGAAATCCTGCTATGGTGAAACGGCAAATCCTATCATGCCTTTGCCTGTCTACCAGTCTACCAGTCTGGCAATGCCTCATGGGACTTAAAGTTACACAACAGCGGGAGTGCCAAGGTGGCCTACACCTGAACTATACAATGACTGGAATACATGAAAACTGACATAGAAAAGGCCATCTTGTGCCCACTGAAAATGATCCTGCCAGGTTTAAAAGAACTCCAGATTAACCACTTGTGGCATTCAGAGTGCTGCACACTTCCCCAAAAAATGTAATCGGAGTAGACAAAGTGTATGTAGTGTATCCTGTCCTTTTGCACCACCACCTCAGCCCCCTTTACTCTTGCCGGCTATTCCCATATGTCACAACCATAGTCAGGAGTGTAAATACAGGAGCTGTGGAAGCTGCTCTCAAAAAATAGACCATCTGATATATTGTTTATAAACATTGATCAGAGGGAAATAGAGAGATACAAAGTAACATTGTTTATAAACATTGATCAGAGGGGAGATAGAGAGATACAAGGTAACATTGTTTATAAACATTGATCAGATGGAGATAGAGAGATACAAAGTAACATTGTTTATAAACATTGATCAGAGGGGAGATAGAGAGATACAAATAACATTGTTACTTTTGTATCTTTCCTGTTTCATTCATCCGCAGATAATAGGGTTGAGGTTTATCATCCATATGATGTCAGTTAAGGCAACCTGAGAAATATTTGTTTCTATTTAACCCCTTATTAACTGTTTATTTACCTTCTCCTCTTACTATTATTTTCCTGCTGATTATGTTCGTATTTCTCTTAATTTAAGTGTTAATATTTTAAAAAAATCCCTTTTTTATTCATCATGTGTTAATGTTTTAGGCTTGCGTTTAAAAAAAAAAAAATTTAAAAAATAAAAACCATTATTTTATTTTAATATAAACAGTGCACTGTGATAGGACTGCAGCCAAGATACACCCCCCCCCCCTATTATTCCAAAGTATGTAAATGAAATACACATATACTGTAGACACATGCATACAATCATCATTCATTCTATTTGTAAATAACTTTGTAATGCTTTGCACCAGAATTTTAATTTTTGTGTCATTTTAAATGGGAGAGATTATAGAGTATAATTTATACTTTTATCTCCAGTAACAGAGCCATCCAGGGTGCCTATCAGAACCTATCATACCCAGCACAGCTCTGCAGCGGGCACTGACCCTGACCAGGCCACTATATTTGTCAGCACCAGACACCGGCTGACATTTTGCGAATGTCAGAGATTCCGATTCAAGTGCTTGGAACCTAAAAATATTCCTCGCATGAGACGGTGTCGCGGACGCAAAGGAACCCCAAGTGCCATACTTCCTTATGAGTTGTTTGGGTGAGAAAGGAAAGGATCAGTGACTTTCATCAGCCACGTTTGAAGCACATAGATCAGGCGTTGCAAGTGATAATAACCATGAGGTTAGACCTTCCCTGAGCGATGAAAGTCTGCGGAGGGGAAACGATGCACCGCGCTGGAAAATATCTACAAATAAAGTAAGGGCCTGTTCACACGACGTCCGTTTTCTGTGCTGACCTGATCCGTACGCTCCTGCACTCAAAATGCATCCCAATGTATCCCTGTGTGTTTTATGGGCTACAGTTCTCACGTGCGCAGTCCCTTCAGGTTACGACACAAAAATACTGCATGTCACATTTTGTCCGGTCAGGAAACGCAAAACGCATCAAAAACACATCAAAAACGCACTGCACTGCAGCTAACATACTGGCAGCCCCACTCCAGCAAAAAAAAAAAAAGTTTTTTTTACTGGAACGCATTCAAAAACGCGGGTAAAACGCGGCAAAACACATAGCACCGTGTCTGCTGATCCGCACCTGATCCGGACCTGAAACTCATGTGAACAGGCCCTAAAGATTCACTCAGGACATGAAGACTGAACCAGGTGAATGTTCCCTCTCTGCACCGTCCCATCGCTGCTACTCCAAGGCTGATTTTTTTAACCCTTTAATGCAGAAGGTAAAACAATCCCTAACTCCTGGCTTTGGGTTTGCAACAGAAACGTAACGGCATGCAAATCTCTAATACTAGATACATTGTAGCAGATGAATCTACTTCTTTATTTCCATTATGTGAATGAAGCTGGAAAAATATTTTGGAGTGAAGCAAATGACACATTTTCTATCCGGTTTAGGAAATAGTGGCTACATAGAGGGAAGGGCGTAATGGCCGCACTGTGCATCAGACTGACAATCCTGGCAAAGCTGTTATAATGAATCATTCTGATACTGACGATGTAACACAAACATTGTACAAAGGATTGCAGATGTGATGAGGAGTGTCCCCTTCAAACTCCTGGAGTGTCCCCTTCGATGTACTACAGATATTAGGGGTCATTGCAGCACCTTGCTGAATATGAATGAAGATGTGCGCAGTGGGCGGTACTCACCAGTATGACGCACAGGACACGCTTACTCTCCTGCTCTAGAAGCGGTACGATGACAACTGCAAACACAAAAGGGATAATGATCAGGAACCGGAAGAAATACAGAATTACATTTTCAGAGTTCAACTTCTGTCCACCATGAAATATCAGGGATCACAAAGACAACCGCCAATGATTCTTATAAATAATTCAAGTGTATGAAGAGACAAAAAGTTATAGTGTTGTAAAGAACGGTCAAACCCGAGCGCCGGCCTTTTACTTCATTCTTACACAGTTGTACCGGCTGATTTTCAGTTTCTTTTCATTTACATTGTCCTCATTTATCTCTGTGGACTCAGCGCACTACAGAACACCCCCTTCCATGTTATGGAGATGAGGACGGGGCAAGGTTTTCCGTAGCTATAACACACCCTCTGTCCTAAGGTGACAATGCTGCTTCTCTATAGATGTTATAGTATTGTAGCAGTGGACTACAATCTCAGGGGGGGGCGGAGCTTGGAGCGGTGACTACTTTACAACACACCCATGGGGAACACAAGTAGCCCCCCTCCAGAAGGAAGGACGGTGTCAGAGATGATCGGAGGATCTACAGCCGAGTGATACACAAATAAGATACATTGTTGTTCAGAGTTAAAGGAGAAATATGAGGTAGACATGTGCGATTCGTTTCGTTACGAATCGAAATTCGTACGATTTTCCTGAAATTCGTAGATTCGGAAGCATCCGAAATCCGAATGGCAGTTTCTGAATTATATCCGAAATACGAAATTCCGTTAACGAATTTCGGATCCGAATATCTTTGAAGCGGGAACTAATATTACCCCTGTAAATGAGGTTGAACAACATGACAAGATTTTTTTTTAATACGAAATACGGATCCGCTGCTGCTGAGAGTCGCATTACAATACACAGGCAGGAAATACGAAATTCCGTTACGAACATTCGTTATGATGACGTTAAAAAGCAAAAATACCTTTGTTAATATTGGAGTTGATGGTAGTTTTTTTTTTTAATCTGAAATACGAAATTCCGTTAACGGATTTCGGATCCGAATTTCGTATTTCGGATAAAAAAAAAACTACCATCAACTCCAATATTAACAAAGGTATTTTTGCTTTTTAACGTCATCATAACGAATGTTCGTAAAGTTACGAAAATGTGCCGAAACTAACGAAAATCCGTATTTCGTACCAATCCGAATTGAGTTTCGGACACGAATTACGAAATAATGGATATTACGAAACGGAACAAATGTTCTGACGGCGCACAAGTCTACGATGAGGGGAGTGATTTCCTCTCATCCTCATAGTTCGAGCCGACCTGTGACAATGAGACTGTCACAGGTCAGTTCAATAGATCGGGAAGTGAGCGAACACATACCGTCGCTCGCTCACTTCTCGATCACTCCCCTGCAGAGAGCCGTGACTGTCAGTCACCGCTCCCCGCAGGGATTCCCCCATGACTGTAGGAACAAACAGGGGAGCGGGCGAGCACAGCCTCTAGATAGGCCGAGCCAGCTGTCACTCACTCAGCTGGGTAGATCTCGACAGTAATGTCGGGATCCGTCCCGGCTGTGGCGGTCTCAGTATATGGCAGGCAATAGCTCGCTATATACTGAGCTTTGGGTCACGGGAGGAGGTTAGTATATGTCCTCCCGTGACCCTAAAGAGGACTACGGGGGAAAACACTGACCTCATAGTTCTCTTTTGAGGTACTTAAAGGAGAACTATGGGGTTAGGGCTTTTTAGTTCTCCGCCCATAGTTCTCCTTAGGGTAACGGGAGGACACAAACTAGCGTCCTCCCCTCACCCTAAGCTCAGTATATAGGGAGCTACAGCTCTATATATACTGAGACGCCGCGGCCGGAGCGGATCCCGACGTAGATGACGGGATCCGCCCAGCTGCGTGACTGACAGCTGGCTCCGCCTATCTAGAGGCAGAGCCAGCTGTACTCGCCCCTCCCCCGTCCGTTCCGCCAGTCAGCGCTGGCGGATCGGAGCGGGGAGGGGGGAATCCAGCCCCTCCCCTGTCACGGCAGAGAACCGTGACAGGATCAAGAAGTGAGCGAACGCCGGTATGTGTTCCCTCACCTCCCGATCTACTGAGCCGACCTGTGACAGTCTCATAGTCACAGGTCGGCTAGA